GAGGTACGCACCGGTACTTATCGTCAACTTTTCCACCCTGAGCAATTAATCACTGGTAAAGAAGATGCTGCCAATAATTATGCTCGTGGTCATTATACAATTGGTAAGGAAATTGTGGATTTGGTGCTCGATCGCATTCGGAAACTTGCCGACCAATGTACCGGATTACAAGGTTTTCTTGTATTTCATTCCTTTGGCGGTGGTACTGGAAGTGGTTTTACTTCTTTGCTCATGGAACGTCTCTCTGTTGACTATGGAAAGAAGTCTAAATTGGAATTTTCCATTTATCCTGCTCCTCAGGTAATAAAAAAACTTAATTGTATCTATTAAATAAATATACATACAGACATGAGTACAAAAGGATGGAAGATTTACATTTTGTTGGACTGAGATACTTTCACTTACTTTAAACATTTTATCTTCATAAACGTAAAATATGTAAATTTTAAAACGACTTTAAATTTACTCGTTTCGTTTAAACATGAATTTTTCTTTATTCAAGCAAATGTTTTGAAATTGATCGAAAAGAGTCTGAGTAATTATCGTTTATGTTTAAAATTGAACTTTTTTAATTTTTCATTTTCTTCATACTCTAAGTTGGTGATGATTCAGTTTCTTACTTTTGTAACACAATGTGTCGTCAAGACGCTTTACCGATTTTGTTCTGTGGGCAGACTGTGACTTACATATTTCCAAAAGTATGTGTGCTTAGTAATGTAACTTGAAAATAGTTCAATAACCACCAAGATATTTTGTATTATACATACATAAGTATTTTATTCGATATAAAGTTAATTAATTTGCTAATTAATTACAAATATCGTTACATCCGCTTCCTATGTTATCTATACATAGTGTACTATTAAATTAAATTATTTCGTTTTTAGTATTATAAATTAATTGATTTTTTTAATTAATTCTTTCACTAAATAGGTATCAACAGCTGTCGTTGAGCCATACAATTCAATCTTGACTACCCACACGACACTTGAACATTCGGATTGTGCTTTTATGGTTGACAATGAAGCGATCTATGACATCTGTCGTCGCAACTTGGATATTGAGCGACCTACGTACACAAATTTGAATCGTTTAATTGGTCAAATAGTGTCATCGATTACGGCATCGTTGCGCTTCGATGGTGCCCTAAATGTCGATTTGACTGAGTTCCAGACAAACTTGGTGCCATATCCCCGTATACATTTCCCATTGGCTACGTATGCTCCTGTTATTTCGGCCGAGAAGGCATATCACGAACAATTGACTGTGGCTGAGATAACGAATGCATGCTTTGAACCAGCCAATCAGATGGTTAAATGTGATCCCCGTCATGGAAAGTATATGGCATGCTGCATGTTGTATCGCGGTGATGTTGTGCCAAAGGACGTGAATGCTGCTATTGCTACCATTAAAACTAAGCGTTCGATCCAGTTTGTCGACTGGTGTCCTACTGGCTTCAAAGTTGGCATTAATTACCAACCACCAACCGTTGTACCAGGTGGCGATTTGGCCAAAGTACAACGTGCCGTTTGCATGTTGTCCAACACCACAGCAATTGCAGAGGCATGGGCACGTTTGGATCACAAATTTGATTTAATGTATGCAAAACGTGCTTTTGTACATTGGTATGTGGGCGAAGGTATGGAAGAGGGTGAATTTTCTGAAGCTCGTGAAGATTTGGCTGCATTAGAAAAGGATTACGAAGAAGTTGGCATTGACTCTGCCGAAGGTGAAGTAGGTGAAGGTGACGAATACTAAAAATGTTTCGATCATGGCAACTATTCAGATATATATTAGTGCGTAATATATACTTGCTAATAGTTTTGATTACTGAAACATTTAATTGGAATGGACACTGATATGAATAAACCCGGATTACGAATGAGCCTAATTTTAAAATAACATAAAAATATGCACCTTTACCATGTATCCGTTTGCTATATTGTCTGCAATTTTCTCTAACTTTTGTTATTAACCAAGAATTTATCAATAAACTTTTTTAATTGTAAGTTTTTTTTACAAATTACACTTAATACCATCGATTTTTATTCAAATACAACCCTTTTCATCATGGTAAATGTTGATTTTTTGAAAATCGAATAACCCGTTTTTGTGTTTTGAAGGAACGGGTTTTGAATACTTTTATTGTTTCGTATTTAATGGATACTTAAATTAAATTAAACCAACTCCCCTGAAACATTATTGGAACACGTGATCCGTTTAGTGGTCCTATGTAATGCAGGCATGGATTATGTTTACCTTTTTTAAACAACAATGGCCTGCATTACATGGGACCATGTAGTGGATCATCTGATCTGATTACTTCCATGTAATGCATGGATGGATTAGGTGGTTCTTACCTGGGACATTACAATGTTAAATGGAGTATGTTTTTTCCATATATTTGGATTAGTTTTGGACCAGTGCTAGTCCTATTTACAAGCGTGGTCGGATTCGTTTAGCAAATTTTATTTGTAAAATTGATTGGAAGACATTTTTATTAAATTGTATCAATCTAAAGATTATATTCCAATTAAAAAATAATAGAAGAATACTTTAAATTTGGGCCTGGAATTTTATGGATGTGATGTAATGTCTATGAGAATTACTTAAACGTCTGTCATAAAACTAAGAAATTTAAGAATTAACTAGGATTACATAGTTTCCTTAAGTTGAACAAAAGTGTCCCAATTTTTTTCTAAAGTTGTTATACATTAGGGAAATTAAATAAATAAGACGATTAGATCTAAAGTTATGATCTTTTAAATTGTTTTATTAAATAAATTTATATTTGTTTAGACAAAATTAAACATAAATATTAATTTTTTTCTGAATTTGAAAAATATCACCGGGTTTTTTCAAATGTCAACTATACGAACTATTCAAAAACCAGTTTTGAAAAATGTCGATTGACACCTTATGAATATCATGCTTCCATTAATTTCACTAGTTCAAATACAAAAAAGATATAATAAATTCAGAAACTGGGGTTAAACTTGTTGTCTATCGAGTTTTAGTTAGAAGCTCTCATCAGTGAACTACTGATCTCTTGTTCATATAAAGCTCTAATTGTTTTTATAAATAACATGTAATTTTTGCAACAATTTTTGCATTTTCTGCTGCATTAAATGCAAACGGATAATTTCAGCATTACATTTCATCAGAAATGTGCCATGCAGTTACTTTAAGCACTACATGTTACTATCAAAGCACTATTTTTAAAACATTTAATTTTCTGGAATTTATTTTTATAGACTTCATGGGAAAATTTATCAAATATGAACTATTGATTACAATAGTGAAATGTAGTGAAAGTTTCGACAAAATATCGACCGCTTAATTTATAAGAGTAACTGTTTAGTTGGAAATGCGGTAATATTACTAGTGAGAGTTTCCAATTGGCACTTTTCGTACAGTAGGGTAGTTCTATATGTTTGCCCATTAATCTTCTAAATGGGAAAACACACGGATGCATTCGGTGGACTTGTAGCTTCAAATATTCTTGTAAATATTGAAAGTATTTTAACTCAGGATATTTAGGTGAATGTTTTAGCACTGATCTAGCATTATATGGTTATCGATGATCTTATCGATCATTACGAAAATCTGCAGTGTCATTTATACTTATATAAAACATATTTGTGCCAATTTTTACAGAGATATTAGTATATTTGACGTAATAATGGCATAAAAAGCCCAAATCAGGAGGTACGGTTGTATGGGGCTAGGTGAAATAATGGACCGATTTCAACCATTTTCAATAGGCTTCGTCCTTGTGCCAAAAAACATGTTTGGTCCAAATATCATCAAATTATATTAAAATTGCGGCCTGTACCTTGCGCAAATGGTTTACATGGACAGCCAGCCAGCCGGACAGACGGACGGACGGACGTACATATCTTAATCGACTCAAAAAGTGATTCTGAATCGATCGGTATACTTTTGTGTAGGATCAATATTTTTGTGTGTTACAAACATCAGCACAAACAATATTGTAAACCGTAATATATATTAAAGGATACAAATTTTAAAAGACCGTAGAAGCAATTGCCTCCAATGTCATCACCGTGTTAAAATAATGAGTTAAAATACTAGCATTTTAACTTATTACTTTTCAATGTAAGTTTTTTCTGGAATGGTAATATTATTAAAAAATGTGCATTTATTATTTTAAATAAAAAAATATTTTTTCCCCAAAAGGGTTTGTTCATCCCCAAATAAAGCAGTTGAAACTTTAATTATTCTGGATTTATATATAAAATTAAATATTTCATTTAAAAAACAATAAATATATAATACAATTCTCAATCAATTGTCCTTTTATAATCGAAATACGTACATACATAGTTACTGTATTCAAGCAGTCAATAATATTTTTATGGCCTTTTTAAATAGGGGATTCAAAATATTTTATGTATTTGCAAAATGTTTTAACCCTAATATACACATACATACATATTTATAATATACCCTACAAGCAAGAAGATACGAAAACGATACGAATTCGTATTGCTTAGAAGAAAAAAATTATTGCGGCAACAATCATATTCGTATTGCGGAAGATACCTCCTTCGGGAGAGATTGTACGGCCAGGGGGATACTTCTAAGCAATACGAAAGCAATACGAAAGCAATACTCCTAGAAGACAAAAAAGAGACATTGCTAGATAATCAGCATGGTGAAAATAAGAAGATATCTTCAGATAATTGTCTGGAAGATATATTGGAGATATTCTCCTATTATCTTTAGGAAGAAAAGTATAAGAAATTAAAAAATTGGCAATTTGAAGACACATTTATTAGTGTTAGCAATAAAATATTACTTTTAAATATTAACATTGCGATATCAAAAAAAAAAATTGCTTGGATGATTTTCTTCCAAATTATAAAAATTTAATATTGCTTTGATATCTTTTATGGACGATATCTTCCAAATGTTTGTAGGGATATAACTTTTAATAATTATTCTATATTCATATAAAAAATAAAACAAAATTTAAATAAAAATTTCAATTAAATATATTACGCAATAAATATTATGTCTAACATCTCTTAATATTCTACTAGTATTTTACAGGATATACATAGAAGCACAATTTTTGTCCAAAAATTAAATGTAGTTTAATTAAATTAACATTGTTAAGATTAACGATTTTTTATTATTCAAAAAATTTATTTTCTGAATTTTTATTCCTTGCCAAAAACTCATCAAGCCAGTTTTCTATTACAGGTAAGTTTTCATCACTCCATTTTTCTTCCTCTTTTATGTTTCTCAAGGATTTTTCGATAATATGCAGCGCACTACCAAACTCTTCTTTGTGGTCATCATAGAGTTTTTGGACCATGGCATGACCTTCTTTAGTTGTAAAAACGCCAGTAGCTGAGCCGATTAAACTATTCCACAGATTTGATTTGTTTTCGAATCTAACAAAAATAAAAAATATTTCAAAATATCAATAAAAATATAAGTGAGAAATAATCAAAGTTTTTTAATTATTTTATTATTATTGTTAATTATTTATTTTATTTATATTATGTTTAAACGTAATTATTTTAACAATTTAATTCAATTTGAAATCAATTGAATTTAAACTATTCGTTTTAACTTGCAAACATTTTTTTCAATTTATAACTGAATTTCAACAAAAAAGGATCGCAGTTTGTTATTGAAAATTTGCAATCAAAAGTAACAAGTAAAAATTTCAGAAAAATTTTAATGCATTGTTTCTAGATAACGTGCGAGTACTTTTAGTAAGAATTTTACTTGTTTTTTATGTATTTATTCAATAATAAAAAAGCCAATTTGTCCTATAATTCTATTTTTTTAATGCTGAAAAAATTACTTCTTGAGAATAACTTCAGAAGTAGTGAATTTGGAATCAAATAAAAAGGACATCCCTCCTATGACAAGCCTGTTTTAAAATCATTACTTCTTCAACTCTTTTTCAGTACTTCTGGAAGTTGTTTTTTTGTTGGGCAGCCATAAAAGAAAAATATAAGAATGTCCAGATTTTCTTGAAAAAAGAAGGGATAATGAGAACCAGAACAATATCAATTAAAGAGGTTACAAAGAGGTTGAAAAATATTCCAAAAGTTTCAATTTGAAAACATTATTAAAGTGTGTGAAAACTAGCAACTCAAAAGCAAGACACAATCCAATAGTCCCAAAAACCACTTCAAAACAGTAAAGAATCTGAGGCATCAGAATCACACGTGCTAATTTTGTTCTCATATCCTTAGATAAAAATTGATTAGTGCGATAAACCGTACTAAAGAATTCCAAATTCTACCGGACACAGAATCAATATGATATTTGAAGGAAAGTTTAGAGTCTAAAACCATCCCAAACACTTATGATGTTCAACAAATTGTATTATTTCATCACCTAAAAACACTTATAAATTAGAAAAGAAAAGATTTATAGGACCAAACATCATGTCTTTAGTCTTAGATGTGTTAACCTTTAAAGAAGGCAGTCATCCAAAGTCTAATATAGTCCAAATTAGAGTTAATATCATTCTCAAAACCGACAACCAGACCTAGAACAACCAAACACATTCCTCAGCTTCAAAATCAGCTTAGTAAAATCAATAGAATTAAAGGCTTTTGATATTGTAACAAAAACTTTCATACAAGAATCGGTCTGTAATTTCGTATGCAATACAATTAGAATATATACGTCTCAATTTCCATACTTATTTCAATCAAATACATCTTATTTTAAATGTAACTGTCAGCACGTTGTGTAACAGTATGTTAGGTGCAAAGCTGGGAAGGAATAAATTCTATTGGGAATTAATTTCCTTAAATTTTTAATTCCGCTTGACATTTTTGAATGTACCACTCTTTAAAATCATTCTCTGAAATTTCGTTCTTAAGCTTTATTTCTTCACACAAGACAGGCATAATTCAAAATTCGGGTTTAAAAAAAAAACTTTTTTGAACTGTATAATAAAAATGATGTGCCGTTTTTAAGTTTTTCATTTAGTTTTATTCATGGTAAAAATATCATATTTTTATCATGGTTTTATTTATAAAAATGTTAAAATATTCAGCGTGAGGGGGATTTTTTGTTTTAAAAGTTAAAACGTTAAAAGCCATGTTTATACGGATATTTGAAAAGTAAAATTTAATTCAAATTTAGTTGAAAAGCATATATCGTCATATGAAATCCAAAAAGCCTTAAGTTACATGGAACACATTTTTCAGGAGAAGCAAAAAACTTTCTAAAATGATAAATAATCCAAAAATCTTCAACATTTTCTAAAGTTAAGCTTATTTTTATTGACAAGTTAGTATTTGAAGAAAAAAATTGGGGTTTTTGTTTTACTTACGGAGATATGAATCTTACGCCCTTGAGAATTTGTTTTTTCTGAAACCCAAAAGGGCGTAACTTATGTTTTTTGAAAAAATTCTAAAGCTGTTAAAAAAAACCCTTAAATCGCAATGTTTCGCTAAAAGTCAACTATAACATTTTACAATTTCAATGTTAAAAATTCAAAAGAATTAAGATTATTGATTTCTTCGAACTGTGATATTAATATTATTAATTGAATATTCTTCAGGCTCGAGTTTAATAAAATTCAAAAGAATTATTAAAATTTTCATGAATTTTAAGGTATTTTTAGAACATATCTTTTAGAATTTCGAAAATAGGGACGTTGATTTTAATTGTAGGAGTGTAAAATTTAGCAGGAACATGTATTTTGATACGATGCATCATAATCAATAAAAATAAAGTCGATTTTGATTTGTTTGTAACTTAGAGCCTTTTGGATATATATAACGATATGAATTAACATTTTCTATCAAAATCTTAATTGTAAAATGCCATAAAACATTCAAAGCAGTTTTTTGAAACATTAATGTTTCAAAAAACTGCAAATAGAGTTCTTTTTGCCAGTGTTAAAGTTTTGTAATCATTTTCTGAACTGGTACTGTTCATATACGACTATATAGAATTATGTATGTATTTACCTTTGCCTTATGACATCCCAGTTGTTTGAGAGAAAATTAAATAATGTAGTGTAACCACTTGAACCACCAGTCAACATGTTGAAAATTAAAAAAATATCATTTTCTGTAAAATTGGCATTGTTTTCTAATATTGTTATATTTAGTAGGCGATTGATCTTCTCGGGTTGAACCGGACAACCAGCTAATGTTTTCAACAAATACGTTCGTTCGCTTTGTATCCTGGTCTTGGGGAAATTAATAACACGCTCCAAACCAAATTCCCATTCTTCAATTGTGCCCCACTTAAAAACGGGACAAATAAATTGGTTTGGAACACTGAAAATAATAGAATTATTATTCATAAGAAGTTTGTAATAAATTATATAAAATACCTACAGAATTTGTTCATCAGGGTTAGGACTATCCATCCATAACTTAAATGCTTGTTGAGCTACTTCAATACATGGTTTGTAACCGGCTCTGCATAAAAAGGTTTCAGCGATTGATTTTAAATCTATTTGCCATGTCTCATTATTGTTGGGTTCACTGAGTTCTTCATAGAGAGGTGTTAACAATACTCTAACATAGGTCTGAAATACAATAAATTATAGTTATTTTTAATATAATACTATAATCCCCAATTATTCGAAATATGTATAGGCTAGGCATAAGGGATTTTTTTTTGCGGTTCCCATACACTTTTTAAATAAAGAAATAAATATCAGCGGTCTTCACCTTACTTAGGGCATCCTGCCCTAAGTAGATAAACTTACCTCAAATTTTTTATGAACATCAGACATGTCTATGTGTCTTCCAATATGATCAATGAACGTAAAAACTGGATTCCAAACAATATGATTTCGTTCAAACTTCATGAAAAGGGTCATGTTTAAAGCTGTTGCGAAACTAAGATCTCCTGCATATGCTAAATTCCATGCATCATGTAAAAGCTTGGCTCTAAAATAGGGAATTTATATACACAATGACAAATATAAATACATATGTACATAAAAAATTATATGATAATAATAATTTAAATGTTAACCTGGTATATGTTGGAATATATTTCAGACCTTCTTCAGTCTGCAGAAAAGTCGAGAGTAAATTCCAGTTCGTAGTATCGTAATTCACCGGAAACGGTCCTATTTCTTCTGGGTTGATTATAATAAATTTATCAGAATTTGGCAAATCATTTATGATCTGACTTCTCTTCTTTTCAATCCATACTTGTGGTTTTGTGTTTGAAAAATTTAAATTTTGCTGCTGGATGATAACTAAAGGTATCCACCATAGCATTTTATCACGTTCTGGTACATCGTGTGGTCTTTCTCTTAGATACACTTTTTGACTTATTGTAGCCATTTTCTTTGCGTAATCACGTTCAACATTTATTACAGGCAATCTATCCTTTGTAATCCATGAACCAGCTATTTCGGCAATGCTATACTGAGCTGGCAAGGTTTGATCAAGTATTGCTTGTTTCGTAAGAGCGTCCCACAAATCATCACCAAAAAATGTACCATAATGCCGGTCCGCAATAAATTTTCTAATGCCAGCTTGAAAAGTGGATCCGCCAAGCGTATAATTAAGCATTCGTATAACAAGTTCGGTTTTATAAGATGTTGTTTCTTGCTTCATACCCGTTATGCGCGAATGTGGATATCTCTTGCTAAACTCGTAGTAAAGTGAATACAATACAGTCATGGGATATTTTCCATTAAATTCGATACCGTTGTCAATCTAGTTATAATAGTAAATGCTAAATTAAATAGTGAGAAATTTGATTAAATGATGATTGTTTACCTCTAAAACTATATTGGCTGCTAGAAAACTTGCTAAAGCCTTATTCACGTGAGCATCACTCCACCAGTAAGGCGTCACCCATGAACCGAGCCATTGGTAAATCATTTCTTGAGTTAGGCCATAATATCCACGTTTCAGCAGTTCACGGTCTCTGTACACAATGGCAGAATAATATCAAGTAATTATAATCTTATGGAAGTGTAAATTTATTTATTATTTTAATGTAGTCGTGTAATCTCAAAATGTAAATAAAATTCCAACTTTTCGAAAATCTAGATCATAGCATATCAAAAATTATTTATAACTCGAGCACGTCTGAGGGTGATATTATTTAATACATACAGTGAATCAACTAAGTTTTTTTAAGAAAATTTTGTTTTTTGTTCATAAATAAAATTCGAAAAAAACAGGTTAAAAGTAAGTTTATGTTTTCCAATTAAAAATAGAGATTGTGTAAAATAGGAACACCAAGAAAAAATTTTAAAATAAAAATTTTGGTGCATTTGCTGTTGCATTTTATTATGTTTCATCAGAATTTGTAGGTCAATAAAGTATTTTGCATTTTTAGAATTCGTGTTAATTTCGTTGGGTTTTTCAAAATATTTTTTAATTACTTTTTGGAATTTGTTGTTTTATTGTTAAAAGGATGCATGTTAAGTATATTTCAATTGCAATTTGCCAAAATCATATCCTCATTGTGTGAAACTGTGATGTTATTTGCCTTAAAAATGTTTAAAGTGAGGAAATTTCAATATAAAAAAAATAGTTTTGATTTCTAGAACAAGTGTAAATCAATGAAATATAGTTATGAGATGTTTAATCAATAGCATTAAAAAGTATAAAATAGAGTAATTGATGAAGTGATCCAAAGAATTATTAGAAAAAACGCACTGAGGGGTCTTTTAAAATCTTTAACTGCCAAAGGGAGGCGACTTGTATCCAAGGAAAACCATTGGACTCCTGATTTATCTTCTCCAAAATCCATATACGAACTAGGAGGAACACTATGTTTAAATTTAGACCTCTAAACAGACCTTAGGTTGCTTGGAACCAATGTAAAGTGAACTGTCGTCTAGTACAGGAAAATTACCTAATTTAGATATTTTAAAATAGAGGTGGTTATTATCACCTAAGGTTAACAAAAGCAAGATTTTTCAGTTAATACATACACTTATATATATTTAGAACCCAAATCAAGAATAACTATCCAGATCCAAATACGCCTACTGTATCTTATTCATAAATCATTTAAAATATGAGGTTGAAAATCAAGATTTTAGCATCTATATATAGTGGTATATGGTGATGTCCCCATACTTAGAGTGGCTAGGATGGTACTTAGCATTAGATTTATTGAATATTCTAAATAATATATATACAGTACTCCCCAAATAGATGGGGTTTCCGTAATGTAGTTTTTGTTTATCAATACAAAATTACCAAAAACCCAGATTATTTTTTGTTATAATATATGGATTTATACCCCACTAAACATTTTTTCTAGGTCCAAATCCATTGATTATCTAATATATCATGTATCCAATTCAAAATTATTTATTATTTTCGAAATTTAATCAAAGAAATGATAGATTTCATGTTAAGTCAAATATTGATTAATTCTTATAGGTATATAGGATAATAAATCGGTTAAGAAATGTCCAAATTTAGTCGTTCCACTACTAAAATATCTAATATATAGGAGTAATAAAAATATTAATTTTATAAAATAATTCAGCAATATTAAAAAAATGAACAAAAAAGCAAAATACTGTATTGACCTAAAAAATTAAAAATACGTCCACATTTTATCAAGAATCTCGTTAATTAATATCACGATTTAACTTTTTATGGTAGAAAATTACCCCCTTATTCACAAACAAAATTTTTATTTTATAAACAGTTTATAAATTAGATTTTGTATGGAAATTTTGTTTTATAAACCTTTTATAAAATGAATATGTTGTTTGTGAATAAGGGGGTTAAAATATAAGATATTCTTTAAAAAATACAACAAACAAATTGCTTCATTTTGTTAAAAATAATTGTTCAGATAAAGTTTTTTCTTAAAATTTATAAAATTTTACATAGGCAAATTACTTAATTGATTCACTGTATGTAGTTTGTTGTACTTGGGCATGACAACTGTACTATCTCGATAATTTTTATGTAAAACGTTTGATCACTAACATACATACATACATATTCTTATATATGCAAATTTTATTCTTATACATATCAGATAATAAAAACTTATATTTTAACTTACTTAAACATCAATAAGCCCCAGTTATCAGCAGGTCGCACAGATGCCAGTCCTGGTATTGCTAGGACATCAATTTTCGACAGCGGAATCGAAACGTTAAAATAATTGTTTAAGCAATTATAGATTTTCGTTAGTTTCACATAAACATCCTATTACGATTCAAATATTTTTGATATTAGACATAAGTTCTACTAAAAATATGAAAATTAATACCTCTAGTTCGGAATGTAGGTCAGGAGTTGACCATATAGTAATATTAGGCTGAATGTTTTGATCTGTTTGGTGTGGAACATACTTTTCTAACTGTGAAATGACAAAACCAAATGTAAAAGTTGACATTGGTGGTGTAGTTTCAAAATGATCCAAAACATAAACTTCATCTTCATTATTTTTCGTAGGCCTATAATAAAAGTATTGAGAAAAATATTCGCAAAGGGCGTTTTGTAGATTTAAACTTACAATTCATCTGTTCTAAGTAAAGGCGTGTTAAATAAGGTTACATAATCTCGAGGTCGAGAAATGGAAACAGTGAATGGTACCTTTAAAATGTAGAAAAAAAGATTATAAAAAAATAATAATTATAAAAACATTTTTATATAAACTTCACGCATCATTACCTTAAAGCCAGGTTCATCAAAGCAAGGAAATAGACGTCTAGCGTTGTTTGGCCTCATGTAGGTTGCTAAATAAGTTATCTTTTCCGTTTCGTTTCCCACGCTGTAGGATCCCTTAAAAAGGCCTTCAGTTGATTCCCATATATTACCTTCGAAGTCCATTTTCAACTCACAATGGGTGCATTCATTTACTTTATCTTTCAAATATATGACAAAAACTGTTTTCTTGGGCATTCTGTCGCCACGAAGGACTGGTATATTTTCAATTTGTGGATCTGCATCACTAAATAACAACAATTTTAACAATTATTTGTGTTGGTACATGTATATATATGTATATTTAAAAAATAACTTGCCCGGAGTTATAAGAAATCTTTGATAGCTTTATTGATCTCTCATTGATTTCCAAATCAAAGTGTGCATGTAAAGAAATCTTTCTGGTCGGGACGCTCCAGCTTAAATTCATATTAATACTTCCAGTAAAAGTATTTTCTTTCATGTTTGGTCGTAAATCGATTTTATATCCACCAGGTAATACATCTTTTGAAAGCCGGGCATCTGGTATAAGTGCATGTGAAGCCGATAAATCTATACTTCTTTTAATTTTTACCTGAAGAAAATATGAATTCCATTTTTCATTAATGTGGACTTTAATTATATGTTATTTATTCTAAACTGTTTAGTGGTAAAAGATATATAAATAAATACAAAGAGAAAAGAAAGAGAAATTTTGTACATCGGTTTTGTTTTGTAAAAAAACTTGTTTATATTGAATTTAATCGCTGGAATCGCATTTTTAAGCCAGCAATTGCAGTAACTTTCTGAAGGGGAAATTATAGGTAGGGTTAGTTATCGTCCTGTTATTCATTAGGAAGATTTACGTTAATCAACCCTAATCTGTATTTCGATTACGTTTCCGCATTCAGTTACGCTACGATAAAAAATGTGTATTCCAACAAAAAACGGAATCGTAATAAAATGAAGAAGCAATTCTATTTTATTTCAATGCTTTACGATTGTGTGTATTCTGCATTACGATTGTAACAACGTCTTTCTAAGTTGTTATTTTAGTGTCGGAGCTTCGAATCGAAATGCAGAATACCAAAGTTGCCAAACGAACAATAATTCGATTCGAATTGAAATTCAGAATAGGGGTGAATATAAAAGTAGCTTATACCGAATTTCATAATTGTACTCGTATTTGTAAGCCAGTAATTATTGTTAAAGTATTTTTTGTTGTAGAGCTGGGCTGTTTTATTGGCATAATCTCCACTTTTTCGTCTTATCTACATAATCGTCTTATTAACCTTTCTAACTGAACAAATATTTTTACAATTTGCAGGAAAATAAATTAGAAAAATGTATTATGTACCCGTTAACACAAAAAATAACTATCCTATAAAATATACATGCACTAGATATAGCCAGTGTGCTTCGGTACCCTTATCGTAATTGAATAAAATAAATATTATTGTAAATGTATATACAATTTGTATAATATTAAAAAGTCCCCTTTTATAGATTTTCATACTTGTTTCTAGGTTCATTATTTAAAATCTATGAAAGTCCCTTTATTTTATGATTCTAGAGTCAATATTACAGAAAATTAAAAAAAAGAAGAACGAATAAGTACCAGACAATGGCTTTTTATAGATTTTCATTTAATCAGGATAATGTATGTTTAGTTTTCAACCAGAAATTCCTCTCATACAGATTTTTATACAATCAGAAAGCTACGTATCCAATTTTATGTTTTTAGGTTCAATATTATAGAAATTTCGAAAAGTACTAGTAAAATAACAAAAAAACGACCAGAAAGTCTCCTTCATAAATTTTCGTTCAATCTGGACACTGAGTGTTTAATTTTATATATTCAATGTACGAAAAAGTACCCAAAGACCTCTTTTATTAATTTCATGTTAATAACTTCAATATTATAGAAAATTCAAAAAGTACCTGTTAAAGAACGAAAAAGTACCAGAAAATACTCCATTTTAAATTTTCATTCTATCAAGTCCCCGGTTGCTTAGTTTTATGTGTCTAGGTTCATTATAATATAAAACTCAAAAAGTACCAAAAGGTTCCATTTTATATGTTCTCATTTACTGCGGGGTCTACATACTTAATTTCATATTTCTAAGTTCAATAATATAATAAACTCAAAAAGTACCAGTTATAAAACGAAAATGTATTAAAAAAGTCCAATTTTATAGGTTCTCATTTACTGCTGGCTCTACATGCTTAATTTTATGTTTCTAGGTTCATTATTATAGGAAATTCAAAAAGTACCTTTTAATGAACGAAAAAGTAGTAAAAATTCCCCTTTTATAGATTCTCATTACCTTCGGGCTCCACATGCTTAATTTCATGTTTCTAGGATCAATATTATAAAAAACACAAAAAGTACCATCTGAAGAGCTAAAAAGTACCAAAAGCCCCCTTTTATATGTTCTCATTTATTCCGGGCTCTACATGCTTAATTTAATGTGACATAATGTCCATAGAGACTATATTGAGACTATAAAGCGACATAATGTCCATGAACATTATGTCACTTTTTTAAAGTGTCATAATGTCCATTGACATTGTGACACTTTTAAAACACACATGTATTGGAAAGTTTGTTTAAAATTTAAGAATGGGACACTCTTATCCCGAAAATAATTGCCCCTAAATTTGGGGTATGTTACATTTTGGACTCCTATTAAAAAGTATTCTGGATAGCCGGCCTTCGGCCGGGCGCAGGGGTTTCAAACTCTGGGGTATTTCGAACACCGGCTTCGCTAAATTAAGCCTTTTTTGATAAATGGACTCTTTGAAATCCATGGACTTTATGTCCCATTGCTCATGGACATTGTGACACTTTTGAAATTGTCATAACGTTCATGGACATTATGACTCAATTTAGTGTGTCATAACGTCTATGGACATTATGACACTGGACATTATGACACGCCACCCTTAATTTCATGTTTCTAGGTTCAATATTATAGAAAATTCAAAAAGTACCTTTTGAAGAACGAAAAAGTGCCAAAAAGTCCCATTTTATAGGTTTTCATTTACTGCTGGCGCTACATGCTTAATTTTATGTTTCTAAGTTCAATATTATAAAAAATTTAAGTACCTTTTGAACAACAACTTACTCTGGGCTTTACATGCTTAGTGATGATTTTCAATGAATAATATTGCATAGTTTTCGTTTTAAATTTTGATTCATAACTTCTCCCGATGTGAACCGATTTTGCTCATTTTCAATACCAAACAACTTATGAAAATGAAGAACATTTTGTTAAATTTTAATGCTTCGTTTTATCGTGAGAATTACATCAGAATATGTTAAAAATGCTTATTTTTTTCGGAGTTTTTTTAAATTTTGATTCATAACTTTTCCCCATGAGAATCGATTTTGTTAATTTTCAATACCAAACAACTTAGGAAAATGAAAAACATTTTGGGTGACTTTGGTTAAATTCTATTTCTTTGTTTTATCGTGAGCGTGTTTTACACAGACAGACGGACATATCTAAATCGACTCAGAATTTGATAAGGACCCATACATATATACATACTAGGGTGATCGATTATTCGACATTTCCCAAAAACCGGTTTTCGAATAGTTCGAATAGTTGACATTTAAAAAAAACCGGTTGATATTTTTCAAATTCAGAAAAAACCGGTTAACCGGTTTTTCATTATAAATAAAAAAAAATATTTTAATTTGAAAAACTTAATGTTTATGTTTAAATTTGATTAATAAAACATGGCCAGAAATTATTTTTAACAGTTTAAAAGATTATAACTATGGATCTAGTCGTCTGATTTACATTATTTCATTAATATAAAAAATTAGGAAAAAAGTGGGACACTTCTGTTAAACATAAGGTACTATGTAATCCTAGCTTATTTCAAAAGCCCTGTTTAGGACAACACTTCCATAAAATTTCAGCCGTAAATTAATTATTGTAAATTGAATATAATCTTAAGATTGATAAAATTTTATCAAACAGTTATCAATTTTACAAATAAATTTTTTTAATTAATTAGGAAAATCAAAAAAGTTTAACCAAAGGAGCTTTAGAAAAATATACGCTAGTTCCTCGACTCAAATAATTTTAAAATTTAGCTGTATTATTATTTACTTAAAAATTTAATTTAAATAATCTTTGAATACAAAGCAAATAAAAGTATTCGAAACCGGGTTTTAAAAAGTGAAAAAACCGGGTTATTCGATATTCGAAAAATCAACATTAAGAAAAAACCGACACTGGTAAAGGAGAAAAACCCGGTTTTAAAACCGGTTGAAAAATCGAGTCGATCACCCTAATATATACTATATACTTTGTTGGGTCTCAGATGAATATTTATTGGTGTTACATACGGAATGACAAAGTTATATATGCCCTCTATCACTACTGATGGTGAAGGGTATAAAAATATGTACCTATATCTTTCATGTTGTTTTATGAATTTTCAAAAATATCAATTGCACAGGCCAGCGATAAAAAAACTTTTTAAATAATTTCCACTAATCCTAGTACTATTTGGTGTGCTGATTCTGAATATGGAAATAAAAAAGTCGTATCACCCACCAATTTCCACATTTTCATCATTTAGTCCTTTTGACAGCATATTTGAGACCCAAATATAAAATTCTTTGTCTCTAGAGTCTAGACTTAAAGTTATAAAAATGCATTCTGTACAAATTTCGGACGACAGGACTAGTTAACTAGTGGCGCCACGGCTCTGAAGTGAAAAATGGTTTTGGAAAAATTTTACCACTTAATTTTTATTTTTGGATTTCAACAGCAAATAATTGAAATATATATTCATAAGATATAAAACACTAAAATCCGTCAAGAATTGTAGAAGTTATTACAAATTCTTCCGATCATTTAGTGTCACAAAACACATATTTAAAAAATAACAAATGTTTAGAAAATATTCTAATAAAACCATGTCATTACGTTAAATATATTTGTATGAACTTAAATGTGAGTTTTTATCCTGATTTGTGGTATAGTCATAAATGGGAAACCCTTCAGACGGCTGTTTCACAATCCAATATCAAACTTTTAGCAATTTTGTTAAGCAAATTTTATTTTTCTATTTGTTAAAAAAAATGTTTGAAATTTTTTTTGGAAAATTTTGTATTTCTTTATGATTTTTAGATTAAAATCGATAAATTTGCACGTATTTGCCGGCTTCTTCATTAAAGAATAGATGCTTATCTATGTTGGCTGATGTTTTCTTGTTTAAGATTTTGTTTTTCTGCGTTTCAATTTATATTTTTTTTGACATTTTGCGAGAAAATGGTGGGTGATAGAAAAAAATCAGATATCAGATTCGGTTTCAGCAGCTAAAAATACATTAAAAATAGTCCAATTGGTTTTAAAAGTTTTCAAAAACCTTCATTTCGCTGGCCTGTGTTATTTTCGGTGTGAGAGTGGTTTTCTGTTGTAAAGGTTAAAACCAAAGTAAATTTAGAAAGTAGATTCAATAAAACAAAACTCACTTTTTGGACGAAAATATCAAAATTTTTTACGTTGAAACTTTGGACAGCTTTAACCAAAGATTTTTATGTCAAATAAAAAAAATATTTTTTTCTTTTTG